TGAAATCAGTTCTTTATCTTGCCTGATTCCCCAACTAGCCCTGGCCTGATAACCTGACCGCAATGCCCGCGGGGCCCTTTCATTCCTGACCGGCTAACCGCCGAGGGGCAGGGCCTCCTCACACTCGATGCGCAGCCCCCAGGGAACGACAGGCTTCGGGCACTGTGATGACCTCCTTGTTCTCAGAACATTTTAACATTTAAATGTTAAGGTGTTAAAATGTTCTCACCGCCTTGTTCTCGTGACCCTCATGACATCAGCCTCACCAGTCTCCGGAAAGGACCCGCAGACCCGCCCTCATTCTCACCAGCGGTGACGGTTGGGGAGGGGTTAGAGAGGGGCACGCTGGCTGCAGACCCCGGCCCCTGCCCTCCCCTCGTCACTCTGGCTGCACAACTGCAGGCATCGAAGCCCAGCTCCTTCTACTGCAGAAGTTAAGGAGGGATTCTGCAGAAACACTGAGGTGGGAAAGCAGGAGGGCGGTGTGCAGGCGGGAAGAGAGGCCACACAAACATCACTTCCAGACGCCTGTCCCCTCCTTGCAGGGTCAGCAGCGGCCTCTCAGCTCTCTTCCTTCTGGGTGGTTTGCACTCCATTCCCTCCCAGCCCAGGCCTCCTGGCCCGGCCGCTGCTCCTCGGCCTGGGTGCAGGTGCCCCACTTGGGAGACGGAGCGCCCAGGAGGCTGAGGGTCCTGCCCGGAAGGCGCAGAGCGAGGTCCCATCGCTGGGTCCCTGCTGAGACTCAGTCAAAATTATTCAGAGGGGGAAGCAAGGGCCGTGGTTTTCCTAAGAGCCTGGCACTAACAAGAGCAACGGTGGATGTGTGAGCAAGGCCAGGCCCCGCGGCAGCGTGCCAGGGCGGCCAGCCGTTAAACCACCAAAATGCTTTTGAATCAGCCTGTGCACAGCCTGGCCCAGAGGCCTCTGGCCGTCCCTCCTGGGCGTCCATCAACCCCACCATCTGGCAAAATGCTCACCCAAAAGGTAACCTCCAGGACAAGGTACCTCTGTGCTGAGGCCAGAACCCCACTTGGTCCCCAGGGCCAGGTGCTGGGCCACACTGGCTAATAAGTGTTTGAGTAGCATCCAGGGTAAATGGTCATGAAGGGGTGTGAGGATAAGGGACAGAGATCAGGATGGCATCTGATGCCTTGAGCTGGTTTATGACTTGTCAATGAATTTGCAAGCCAGGCGTCCACTCCTACGACCTTCAGCATGTCCTCAGCTCCTCACAGCCCTACTTTGCTCATTGGGACTTCAAGGGAAAGAACAGGGTGTTTCTCGGTGGTGTGCAGGAGGCAACTAATCGTGTCTCTCTCTTACATCGACGTTGCTCTCTCTCTCTCTTTCTCTTTCTCTCTCTCTCTCTTAAGCTTTGTTCCTTATGGATATTACTTTATATAACAAATGACTGAGGAATCACCTCTATTTTTTTCTCCCTAAATGGCTAATTGTACTATCACTGGCTTAACATTCCTAAAACCCACTCCTCTAAAGCGGAGCCTCCCCATCTGGGTTGAGTGGATTGGAGCCCTAGCTGGTTTTGCTCAGTGGTTAGAGCATCCGCCCAAGAACTAAAGGGTCTCGGGTTTGAGTCCTGCCAAGGGCACACCTTGGTTGGTTGCAGGCTCAATCCCCAGCCCCTGTCGGGGTGCATGCGGGAGCAACCAACTGATGTGTCTCTCACATCAATGTTATGTTTCTCTCTTGGTCTCTCCCCCTCCCTTCCACTCTCTCTCTCTCTAAAAAAAGAAAAAGGAAAAGGAATGGAGAAATCTCAGGGGAGACTTCTATAATTGAAACACTGTTGCAACTCCAGCTCTGAGGCCCGGCTGGCTGAAATCAGGTTTCTGGGGTTTGTATAGCTTCTATAATTGCAACGTTGTTTCTTAGAGTGCAGCTCAGAGGCCAGCAGCAGCAGGCGGGGAACCTTGGCTTCCTCCATCACTGGAGCAAGCAAGCCTCCTGTTCGCTTCAGCTGCGTGGCTGCCGGCCGCCATCTTGGTTGGCAGTTAATTTGCATATCGCCCTGATTAGCCAATGGGAAGTGTGTCGGAGGTACGGTTAATTACCATGTTTGTCTATTATTAGATAGGATAATTATTGTCAATGATTAGGGAGCAGTTTAGTAACATTAAATTAAATCCTTCTTGAACAACTGACTGGTTCAGGGATCCTAACCGGGCTCATCAGACATCCAGGAGTGAGGAGTGTAAAATGGAAAGTGGAGAGACACAAAGACAAGGAGTTCTCTGGACCTCACGGGACAATCCATGAATTCCTGCTGCCGAGGCCGCCCAGGCCAGCCTGCTTCCTTCCCTCCCTGAATCCTGAGCTCTTCTTTGAATTCTGTAAATACCCCCAAATCCTTCCACAAAATTGTCTGTCTTTGTCTTAAAAAAAATAGTGGTGTGAAAATAAGAGACCAAAAATGAATTCAGCAATAAGGCTACAAACATATCCCAGAATGCCCCGTGTACAGGCTTGGCTGTAAGGTTTCTAGCGAGCAGCACAGGCAGGGAGAATTGGGCCATTTCACGATGTGTCCACTGAAGGCAAAAGAGCCCAGGTGCTCAGACCGGCGGGCGCATCCCCCGGGGCCCTGGTGACGGACAGGTCTCGGGGCCCCCCTCTGGTGGAGGCAGCAGGCTTCGGGCTGCTCCTGACAAAGTCCCTCCTTACAGACAAGTGACGTTACCTTCGAGCTCAGCACGGCGAGTTAGTTCTGGGCCGTGGGGAGCGATGGACAGTCTGGGTGCCTTGACCCAGGAGCTGACAGAAACACGAGGAAGAGCAGAAAGACTACAAGCCCTCCACTCACTGTCCCTGTGATGCCCACACAGTTAAGGAGCCACGCGGCCGGGAGCCGATGGTCCCCCCGTGAAGCGGGCACGCTCCCCCTGGACCCCGACCAGGCTGGGCAGGGTTAGTTTCCCACTTAGGGAAAGTCTGGTCTTGGGCTCAGAGGTTCCGGGCAGCAGCACGGGCAGCGTCCTGGGGCCAGGAGTACCCTGGCCTAACGATGCCGGTGGGAGCAGCTGGTCCTCCAGAGCCGTCCTGAGCCCCGCCTCCAGCTGCCTCCCCAGACGGTGGAGAAGCACCTGAGCAAACAGCCCACACCCAAGCCGCAGCGTCTTACAGGCAGACCTTTGAACTGGGTATTTCCTGGCCAAGGACGCCGGCGAGCCTCTTAAACGAGCCCGCACAAGGCAGTGACTGCCGGCTCCCAGGGCGCGGAAAGTCCGGCCCACCTTCTCCATCCAACATCCCACCTGCGGCCTCTCCAGGCCACCCAGACCCCTTCCTGCCTTCAGAAACGACCCTGCACCGGTAACCTCAGTCTCTGCATCCAGCCAGGGGTGTGGCGGCAGATCGCGGCTTTTCCTAGGTAACGTGTGTGCCGGGTTGAAGTGTTCGCCCCAAACTCACACCTTCCCAAGAGCCTCATTTGTGGCCTTATTTGGAAATAGGGTTGTTGCTGATGTAATGAAGATGAGCTGGTAGGCAGTGTGGGCCCTTAACCCACTCTAACGCTGTCCTCATGAGAAGAGGAGAGAAGCGCTCGGACACAGACACACAAAGGGACAGCTCCATGTGACGAGAGGCAGCGATGGGAGGGATGTGCTGCAGGCCAAGGGACCCCAGGGGTTGCGGGCGACACCAGGAGCTCAGAGACAGTCAGGGGACAGACCATTTTCTCGACCCTCCAGAGGGAGCACAGCCCCTCTGACGCCTGGATTTGGAACTTCGGCCTCGAGAACCGCGAGGGAACGCACTTCTGACGCTGAAGCCCCCGTCTGGGGTCCTTTGTCACGCGGCCCCGGGAAGCCTAGCTCTCTGCACCCACCACAGGCACGATGCGCCCCTGCTGAGAAGCAGGACCCCCTGTCTGGTCCCCTCCTCTGAGAGGCGGCACCTGGGGAATGCTGGAGAATTTTGGGGTCCCTGCCAAGGAGGCTGGGCAAGCTCCCTCGAGCATCGGAAGGTCAGTGCTAATGGGCCTCCGAGTAGAGTTCCCAACTCCATGTCTGTGACATCTGTGCGTTTACACTTCGGTTCACCCCCCATCAGGGGATGACTTCGGGGTACTAGGAACAATACCCGCACCACCAAGAAAGGAAAGAAAAGAAAGAAGAGAGACAGCCACCCTTCCCTTGTAAGTTGAGGACACTTCGGTTCACCCCCCATCAGGGGATGACTTCGGGTACTAGGAACAATACCCGCACCACCAAGAAAGAAAAGAAAAGAAAGAAGAGAGACAGCCGCCCTTCCCTTGTAAGTTGAGAAGGCGGAATTGGATGCTATGGTCACACTGCACCGACGGCAGGTTTCGATACCAATGACGCTGGACGTAAAGGAGGGCCGCCCCAGACCTGTGGTGCCTGAGGGCAAGTCTGTTTTCCAGATCACTGTCTTCCTGAGTAGGACCTTCCCAGTCGCCAGGAAGAATCGGGGGAGCAAGGAGATGCGCTAAGACATATGAGAAGAGAAAGTCCACTTCAGTTTCCTGGTCTACTACCCACTCTGATCGCGGTGCTCCATCGAGAATGGTTTGCACTCAGACCACAAATATTTACGACCCTGAAGAACTCTCTTAAACACACTCAGTCAGTCTGTCAGAAAGAGATCCACTCAAATCTCCCAATATCAGACACAGGCACAGCCCACTGGCAGACAGCGCAAGGGCTGGGCCCGGCCGGCACAGGACAAACAGCCTCGCGCTGCTGCTGTTTCTCAGAAAAGCCTGGAGGCCAAGGCCTCACTGCGTACCAGACAGCTACAGTTCAGCCCAGGCTGCGGGTTCGTGTAGGGAGGAGCCGACGGGGGGAGACCGACATTGCTCTGGAGGGAGACTCGTTCCTGGGACAGACACAGGTCAGGCGCTCAGCACCAACTAAAGCCGTGGGCCGCTGTGCTGCCCTGCAGGTGGCTTCGTGGCCGAGTGGCAGAGGAAGGGCCAGCAGCCCGCACCCACCTGGGGAATAGCAACAGTGCCTTACTTTTTCTGGAGCGGGAGAAGAACCGGATGCCCCCGGGCGAGGTAGACGAGCTGGACGTGGGGGACGACTCTTTGGACGAGGAGCGGAAGATCCCGCTGAAGCTCATGCGCCGCGGGGAGCGCGGCGGGGACTCCTGGTAGGAGAACGGGAACACGGTTTTGGGGGAGCTGGGGCTGGTCTTGGGCCTCACGGGAGCAGACACGGGGCTGGAGGTCCGGCGCGGGGGGCCTCTGGAGAAGAAGCCTTTGGAGGGGCTGCCAGAGCCGAAGGGGCTGTCCACCTGCGGAGAGACGGGCACAGGGATGAGCTCGCTCGGGCACTTAGACCTGGGCCCTGCCCTGGGCCTGTCACTCTCACACCTGCCGCTCTCCCAGTGTCCTCTGTCCCCGAGCTGCTCCTCCACGGCACCCTGCCCGAGAAACAGCCCTAAGCTCTTCTACAAACAGAGGTGCCACTAGTGGCCTGGGGAAGGCAGCTGCCCCCACCATAGCCCATCCGCAGGCTGGTCAGCACTACCCAGAGGCCCATGACCTCTGCCCAGCTCTCAGGAGGGCTTCCTGGAGGAGGCGGGGGGATGGCAGGCAGAGGACATGGCTTGAAAGGATGTACCTTCTCCCTTTGACCTGCTTGTGGGTCTGTCTCCTGTCCTCTATGCTCAAGACCTCACGTGTGTCCTCCTCGAGGTCTGACCACACGGGACAGTGTTCTCCTGCCCTCTTCACAGGAGGAAACAAATCTCTGTGGTCTGCACACTGGGCCTGGGCTCCGTCCTGAGAGGCCCCGGGGCTGGGGAGTGATGCATGTTTCAGCTCCAAGCCGCTGTGGTGCTGGAGTGAGGGGGCCGCTGACAGGTCAGAGGGAACACGGCCGAAAGCCTCGGAGGCTGGCTGCATCGCTGGCTTGTCACAGGGTCCTGGGGCAAGGACAAGGCCTGGGGGACAGCCCAGTGTGCCGGGAAGGTAGGTGAACGCACACACCCAGAGGCAGGCAGGCAGCCTCCGCGCCCATGGGCCTCTGTCCACTTGGGGTGCCTGTCGGACCCATGATCCTTGTGAGTTCTTCCACCACCAGAGGGCGCCCCCAAACAGGGCTTGAGGTTCCTTAAAGGCTGTCAGGCCCACCCTCTGCCACTCCCCAGCCGCACAGAGGACCAGCGTGGCCTCAGGGAGATGCAGAGGCCGTGCCCGGCGAGGAACCACAGAGCTCAAGCTCACCCCTCACAGAGTCTGCGCTTTTCTTTTTCTAACCATTTAACATGAAATGCATTTAGATTCTCTGTCTGTATCCAGTTTCGCCACTATGCCACCTCCCTATGGGACTCAGGATTCCCGAGTTTTGTCTAATCCTCGAATAATTAAGAAGGAGAAGCTCTGCGTGGTGGGTGGTGGGTGCCTGTGGACGTGGCTGGGCAGTGGGAACGAAGGTGACCCGACAGCAGGGTGGCACAAGCAAGGCTTCTGGACACAGGGCTGGAGTTTGAATCCCAGCTATTTCTAGAAGTGTGACAGGTGCCTTAAGCTTCGGTATCCTCACCTTCCCAATGAGGACACCAGGCCAAGGCACAGGGCTGCGAAGGTGACGGGATCTACCACAAGGGGCGCAGCTGGCACAGTCCTGGCCCATATGTAGCTCGAGGAGTTTAATGGGAAGCAGACCTGCCAAGGTTCTAGAGTCAGGAGGACGCCATGTCTGCCCTCCAGGGATGGTTCTGGGACAGGAGTGAGGAGACCAAGGAAAGACCAAGAACTCACAGTGGTCATGGGTCTGACAGGCACCCCAACAAAGGCTGCATTCCGCTTCCCCTCCAGTTCTCTACCTACCATCCACACAGCTTTCACCTGAGGCCCTGTCTCCAGGCTGCACCAGGAGACCACCAGATGTAGGGAGTAGATACAGGGGGACCTGCAGGTGGAAGTGCAGGTGGGAGCACAGGTGCATGTGCAGGTGGGAGCACAGGTGGATGTGCAGGAGGGAGCACAGGTGCATGTGCAGATGGGAGCACAGGTGCATGTGCAGGTGGGAGCACAGGTGGATGTGTAGGAGGGAGCACAGGTGGATGTGCAAGTGGGAGCACAAATGCATATGCAGGTGGGAGCACTGGTGCATGTGCAGGTGAGAACAGAGGTAAGAGCACAGGTGCATGTGCAAGTGGAAGCAAAGATGGATGTGCAGATGGGAGCACTGGTGCATGTGCAGGTGGGAGCACAGGTGCATGTGTAGGTGGAAGCTGAGGTAAGAGCACAAGTTCATGTGCAAGTCGAAGCACAGGTGGATGTGGAGGCGGGAACACAGGTGGATGTGCAGGTGGGAGCACAGGTGCATGTGCAAGTGGGAGCACAGATGGGTGTGGAGGCGGGAACACAGGTGCATGTGCATGTGGGAGCACAGGTGCATGTGCAGGTAAGAGCACAGGTGGATGTGCAGGTGGGAGCACAGGTGCATGGGCAGGTGGGAGCACAGGTGCATGTGAAAGTGGGAGCACAGATGGATGTGCAGGTGAGAGCACAGGTGCATGTGCAAGTGGGAGCACAGGTGCATGTGCAGGTGGGAGCACTGGTGCATGGGCAGGTGGGAGCACAGGTGCATGGGCAGGTGGGAGCACAGGTGCATGTGCAGGTGGGAGCACAGGTGCATGTGCAAGTGGGAGCACAAATGCATATGCAGGTGGGAGCACTGGTGCATGTGCAGGTGAGAACAGAGGTAAGAGCACAGGTGCATGTGCAAGTGGAAGCAAAGATGGATGTGCAGATGGGAGCACTGGTGCATGTGCAGGTGGGAGCACAGATGGATGTGCAGGTGAGAGTACAGGTGCATGTGCAGATGGGAGCACAGGTGCATGTGCAAGTCGGAGCACGGTGGATATTAAGGTAGAAGTGTGTGTGTTGGGCACTTGCTGAGGAAGTCCTGCCTTGCTGGCACCTCAGGCGAGCTCTGAGAAAGGTGACCTTACCTTATGAGAAGAGTGCTTTTCTGAACTCTCCAGGTCTCCATCCAGGTGTGGCATGGCAAAAGAGCTCAGGTCCTAGGATGGAGACAGAGCACGTGGTCAATGACAGTGGCACTCAGGTGCCCATATGCCTCCTCCAGGGGCTGCACATGGCTCTTTGTGTCACCTCCCATCCTGATCCTCCTCCCATATCAACCATTAGGAAGGGGGCATGGATGGCAAACGGGTGGAAGAAGTGGGTGACGATGCACTAACCACTCAGAAATTCTGACCACTCTCCACATTCCCTTCCCGAATAGGAAGTGGCTGCCTCTGGTCCCCTGTCACCAGGTCACCTGTCACCGGCGAGGAAGGAAGAAGAAAGAAGAGGCAGGGACTAAGGGGCAGGGAGGGAAGGAGCCAACAGGGAGCGGGAATGGAGGGGAAAGGCCCAGCCTTGGGAGCAGCCAATGGGCAGCACCGCGGCTCAGGCCTGGCTGCCCATTAGAGCTCCTGGGGCAGGTGCGTTGATTGGTCTGTGGTGTGGTGCAGGCATCACAGAGACTCGGCCAGCGCCCCAGGCAGACGGCTGGCAGCTTCCCACCAGTGATGGTTGGGATAAGTCACTCAGCCGGGCCCCACGGATGTGCTGGTCTCTGCAGCCTTGTTTTTCATGTGCCCTGTGCCCTGGCTCCTTCTTTTAGCAACAGCCTGGGCAGACCCTTTGTGGTTTTTCCAAACAAGGCTTGTCTGGAACGCTGTCTTAACTGCTCAGACACCTCAGTTCAAGGCCTCTCAACGGATTCCCAGAACAGCCCCTCTGGGACAGCCCCAGCCTCAGCGCTGTCCTCTGCCCGCTCCCACCCTTCCTTCCGGCGCTGTAATGCTCCCCCAGCCCTCCACCCCCAGCCCCAAATCCGGGGTCAGAGAACTCCTGTGTATCATGCAAAGCCCAATTCAAAGCCCAGCTGGTCCCCATCCTCGGGCAAAATCAATTCTTCTCTTATCTGTGTTCCCACCGTCCTTGAGATGCCCCTGGGCCATCGGCGGCATTCCACATTCAGTCTATTCTCTGAGAATCACTCCTCGGAGGGCAGGAGGAGCTCACCTTGTGTCCTCGGCCTGCCGGCCCGGCATACGGCAGGTGGCAAAAGTGTTTGAATGAGCCCCTGGAAAAGGCACCCCCTTCCCTGGTCCCAGCATGAGGGCTGCCCGTGTGCACTGACGGGCCAGCGAGAAAGCAGGCGCCGCGCGGCTCAGCCCACGGGGAGTGAGGAGCAGCCAGGCGCGGGGCACCTGCCTCCCATTTTAACGAGAACATTCCTCTCTGGTCTCCAGTAATCATCACCCTTGAACGTTTGTTCAGCACAAGTTTCCACAAGCGGAAGCCTTTTCATAAACTCTCATGTGTTCCTCCCCTAAGAGCCCTGAGAACCATCACACTCTCGCACGGAGGCCCTGGCGGTTCAGTGACGCACGTCAGGACAGTCTTAAAAGAGCCGAGCGCAGGACGCCGGCCCCCGCTGTCACGGGCTGCCCTGGCGGTCCCATCAGCTGCTCCCAACCCAGCGAAAGCATCGCGTCCACCAGCCACCACCACACGCCCACTCCGGGCGCTGTGTTTGCTCCGTCCAGCAGCCCTGCAGGGAAGCCCCTTGGCCCGCGTGGAGGCCTTAGCTGGAAGACTCCCACCCCACAGTCCCTGATCTAATCTCCTGGACGCACGGAGAAAGCACGCACCGCGAGGCCGCTGTGGGCCATCTCCAGCTCCGGCCACAGGGCCATTACCAGCTGGAATAATGGGGACCAGGCCGCTCAGGTGGGCTGACCTTCCGAAGGCCCAGGCTGCGGAGCTTGTCCCGCCTGTGGTTTTTCGACTTCAAACTCCCCCCAGAGCCTCACACTCTCCTCCTGTGTCCTGCCAGCCAGCCAGGCAGGCCCCTGGGTGCCGAGTGGGCATTTCCCTGGGCCACGCTGAGGCACCATCGTGGCTTCTGCCAAGAGACAGCTTTATACTCCGGGCTTGTCCTCAGACCTGGCCCCATGCCCTGCAGAGGAGCATCAGGGTATGTGGGGAAGGCAATCTTCAGGATTTGGGCTGATGACGTCACCTTCAGGAAAGCATCCGGACAGAAGAGAACAGCCCCAGGTTTGGGAAAACTCCCGAGATGTGAGCTGACCGAAAAGCAGCTCACTGAACCCCCAGCCCTACCCCTCCTCAGAAGTGCAGGCCAAGGTCCAGAGTCGATCACAAAAAAGCAGGGTGTCAACAGCAGAGCCGGCACCCATCGGCCATTGGCACGGTCCTTAAATCTTCCAATCGCTGCCTCATTGGTCCCGAGAGCAGCCCATGCAGCCAGGAAAGCCGAGTGGTATCATCTCAGTGCATAGATGAGGAGACGGGGGTCAGAGAGGTCATTAAGCCTCTTAGCCAAAGCCAGACAACCAGACAGAGGCGAGCAGGCCCTACGACCCAGGTCCAGCCACTCGGAGCTCAGAGCTTTTCCTGTTAAACTCTACCCCCTCCTTGGGATGGCACAGGGCCAGGCATGAACGCCAGCTCGGTGTCAGAGCCTGTGAAGACAGCTCTGCCATGGAAAATGGGTTTCCCCGGCACAGGGAGACCACAGGGGAGGGAGGACGGGGGAGGACTCGCACAGTTCTAGGATTCCTTCCCAAGGTGGCTGACGACACCAACTTTCTCTTGAAGGTTTGCTTCTTAACTAGAAGTAATTCAGGCGTTGATGTTGCGAAGAAGAGAATGTCAAGTATCCCACCAACAATGCGGTCCTCCACACCCTGCATGTCTGCTCTTTGTATAGTCGGGGTCTTGTTTACAGGCCCCCTCCCCCCCTACTTAACCCAACCTTTCTCCATAAGATAATAGAGCTTACACGGTTTACAACCAGCCGGCGTGTGAATTCCTGCAGGGTGGGCTGTTCCACTCACATCGCAGCCCTGGTGGAGGGGCTGGTGTCTGCGGACCAGATGCAGTCCTGCCCATTCAGCGTTTCTGACGCTCTCAGCTCGGTCTTATACAACTCCTCTGTTGCTGCAGCTGGGGTACCCCAGAAAGAGGCCAGATGGGAGCGCAAATACAGGACGAGCAGAGAGGCTGCCAATGTCGGGGCACGGCCTGCACCTGAGGACCCGCCAGGGGGCTTCAACGCCGGGGTCACGACTGAACATTCCTACGAATTACTGGTCGTGTGATTCCTGCCCAAGAAGGAACACATCTAGCGAGGTTTTCCTTTTCCACCCGCGACGAGCAGACCCACGGCACCCACTGCCAGCGACATCGGGAAGGGGCTGCGGGACAGCCGGGGAGGGTCGGCTGGGCACACCGGGGCCCGGCCCTCGGCAGGTCCGAATGCGACCTGCTCACAGGGACAGAGCCTGAGGCCACGCGCCAGCCCCAGCCCTGCTGTTTACTGCCGGGGGACCGGGGCACGTCTGAATTCAGGTTCACGACTGTCAAATGAGAGGGTTTAGCCGGATGATTTCAGAAGGTGCCTTTACGCCCCCACGTCCTCTGTTCTTACCTGTTGAACAAAGCAGCAGGCGGGGTTACTATCGGAGGAGAAGGGCCCACTGAGTAAACGCAGCTCTCCCCTCCTGACTAGCCAGGAAAACAAGCTTTCCGCTCCTGACCCACCAGATCCTCTCCAGGGCCCTCGAAGCTCGGGGCCTCCAGGCAGAGCCTCCAGGAACCGGCCACAGCAAGGGCAGGGGAAGCGCGTGCCCCCCGCGTATCCCTGACAGTTCACACAGGTGGCTACTCCCCACTGGGCCTGTCGCTTTCTAACTGCCATGTGCCTCCATCGGCTCCTTAGTGCTAAGCCTCTGGTTCTCGGCCGATTTCTAAGGTCCCTCAGGCTCTGGGTCATCAGTAAAACGGCAGGTGGGTCCTGGTGGACGCTCTGTGGATTCCAGAAAAGCCGTGAGCAGCATCTTCCGAACTGCAGGTCACTCAGGTTCCCACGTGGAACCCCCATGCCCAGCCCATCTCCCCACTCGCCCACTCCCAGTCACAGGGCTCAACCTTGTCTGCGTCTGACCTGCTGGGATCGTGGCTTGGCGCTCGCCCTGGCGAGCCCTCCGGTGGGAGGCACAGTGAGGTGTCTCCGGGTGAACTGACTTTGCACAAAACCTCAACACTGCCAAACAGGCAATTCCTGGTACCACGGTAGGGGTGGTGACCACAGCCATGGCCAATTGGAGCCTTTGAAAAACACTCACGTTATATAACGGCTCTTGGAAAAAATAAGGAACAAGCCCTGAATCACTGGAACTCGGGGTGGGACGGGGGCCAAATTAGGGAAGCCTAGACTGGGCTCTCGGAGAGGTGCCAGGATTCTTCCTTCTCCAGAGGACACCGTGGTTCCTGACTGCTGTCTCAGAGACTTCCTGATGTTAAAGAGAAAAGAAAACCACAATTTTTCAATCCTGGGGCCCCCGCCTCCCCTCCACCTGGTGGTCCCAATGGATTTGCATGGCTGGCTCGCCTCCCCCCCAGCCCTTGGCCAGTGGCCTGGGCCTTCAGCCTCCAATGAGCTGGCCTTTCTCCAAAGAAAGAAGCCCTGGGAGGTGCAGCCCGAGCCCCCGTCCCTCTCCCCACCCCAGTCCCCACCCAGGGGCTCCACTGGCTCAATAGCACCAGACAGTAAACTTCTCTCAAACCACGTGGCTACAGATTCCTAGATCAGAGTGGTTCCGGGCCTCCACGTCCCCTCCGCTCTCTTGTGTGTAGCACGTCATCTGAGCCTCCAAGGACCTCCCCTGGTAAATGAGTCCACAGTGCCTTCGGTGTCGTGGGGGGAGGTTGTGAAAACCATATCAGATGACACAAACCAAGGCCCTTTCAGCGAGAGTCCTCGCGCCTGGGAACCAGGACGGCCACCCACCGAGGACACTCTCACCAATCAAGACTACCGGGGAGAGGGGCACAGGGTGTCACCCAGGACACTGCCCTGAGCCCTGGTCACCCGACTCCTGCTAAAATCCAGCTGCAAAGGCTGCAGAGACATGCACTGCTGCTCCTTAGCATCAGAGCTGCCTCTGCCCCTTCCCAGCTAAGATGGTGCTGCGCGGCCCGC